CTCATCCAAGCGCTCTTGGGTTTGTGCCAGGTGACTTTAACAAGACAATTTGTATGGGCAACAATAAAATTTTAGGGTGTGATTTGTATATAAATTGAATAGTTAAAAATCAATCAAAATTTAAATTTAACTGACTTTAATTCAATTTCGGTATATTTAATATTATTAATATAATTAATAATATCAACTAATCATTTTACACATCATAATTAGTTTTGAGAAAAAAAGTGATATGATTGTTGTAAGTGACATTTTAATTTTATATTAAAATAATATTTAAAATAAATATAATTAAAATTAATGTGATGTAAAAGTAGGATCGAGATAATATGAAGTGATGATCAGTTAAAATTTTATGAGCTGAAAAATAGTAATTAAAGTTGATATTATGTGTAAGAATTATTAATTGATATTATTTAATTTAATTGATAATATTGAGAATATTAGAATTGAGTTAAAATTAAATTAGATTTTGAGTTTAAAGTTGAGTATGAGTTAGATATTTTTATATACAAACACTAAGTACATTATTTAGAATTTCAGAAATTCTTTAAGCACTGAATTTTATTTCTCATTTTGAAAAGAAAACGAAAACGAACATTCACAATGTGTTGGGTTCATTACAAAAAATGTACATGCCACGTAAGAAATAGACTCAGTCTAGTAAAATATGTTCTCCAATACAAGTGCAAGTGGACTGAATCTTGTTGACTACTGATGTGACAACAAAAAAAGAGATTATGTATATCTTTAAGTTTATTTTAGACTCAAGTAGAGACCTATAGTCTCTTTGCATTTGAGTGAATTTTATTAATTTTACCTAGTTTTATCCATATCGTCCAAGATTTTAGTTTATTTATATTGCACATAGACAAAACTAGACCCGATACATTGTAGATGATTGTAGTTTTCTTACACACAAAACATGACCTCATCTGGTAAATAAATTGGTACATAAAGCTTACGAAGCAAAAAGAAATTTGTCAACCCATAATATGTTAATTTCCCGTTTTAGCCCCACAAGAAATTATATTCCCGAGATTGCCTTTAGACTTCTCAATCATCGTCCTCGTCCTGGAGCTTCTCACTGACAGACAAAATCATCATCCAAATCACAAGATAAAAAAAAACCCTAATAAGCTCCCATTTTTGCTGCACCCAAAAACCCCCAAAAGATTTGCATTATTACTTCATTGTTGTCATCTGAAATAGCCAGAGTTTGCGTTTTTTTTCCTGAGAATTGGGATGCTCAAACCTCCAATCGCAGGAACAACTATGGATTTTATCGGGTTAACTGCACTGCCAATTTCAATTTGTTCTTCATTGCATTGAGATAACTTGATTTCATAGCATTTGATACTTAATCAATCCGACCAACTGTTTGTGTGATGCTTGCTCACGGTTTTTTTTTTTTTTTTTTTTTTTT